ATACTTTTAGGAATCCACACAATTTTTATTAGTACATTTGGTTTATTTAATGTAGTAAATACAGAAAGCAGTAGTTACTGGGTAAAAAGAGAATAAGGGTGTTATATAATAGTACTTGCACTGCATTATTTGATTCATGTACTAAAAAATTACTAGTTTTATTTTAATAAAAGCGGAATAAAGTTTAAATAATTATTATTTATATATGGGTTACAATTTTACTGCTTATCAATGATTATCTTTTTATTTAATATATAGACATATATATTTCTTAAAGAGTAAGATTAGTTTTCTAAATCCATCCTAATTTAGGATTTGGACTTTAACATATAACAAATTCTCACTTAAGTCGATGTTATAAGTACCTTAGTTCATAAGAGAAAAGTTTTATTCATAAGCTTCCACTTCTATCTTTGAATTCCAAGACAATAATGTGCATCAACACCAAAATCCTACAAGCAAACAATGTGATATTGATGTACCTTCAATCAAGTAATTCCTTCTAAATACTTTGCATTAAGTACCCTCAAACCTCAACAATATATTTATACCTCCAAGAAGCCTAATATCCCAAACAAATAATACTATCACTATGTAGTAAGATATCTCACATTGGAGAAAGCTTCTTCATAACACTACTGAGGATCTTGAGGTATGTTATTTTGATACCATGATCTTTACCTTCTTATATTGCAAAAATGATATGGTCAGAGTCTTAATAAACAAATAATTTATCAAAGTAATATTTATTACAAAAGTTTAAGTTGATAAGAACGTACATAAATATATTATGTCTATATTAATGTCCTGCCCATGTGTAAGCGAGATTTTTAAGCTTATGAGTTTAAACAGAAAGAAAACAGATTCATAAAGATATAAAATTACGAACCAATTAAAAATTGACACGCTTTACACGACCCCAAGCCTAATAGTGTCAAAAGAATTAATGAACAAATAATAGAATAAGGCAATTATGTTCCTAAGATATAAATGCAAGAGTTTTACCTTTAATACCATTTTGAATAATAGATTGAACTACTTATGTCAAAAAATTGAACCTCATAGGAATGATAAAATATATATTACTTATTTGGATTTCCTCTTCTTTGTGTTCTTTTCCATCAACAAACCATCATTGTTAAACATGAAGTTTGTTAAGTTATTTTTATCTTCATCTATCTTTTTTCTTTCAGTTTGTTATTCATCCCAACAACTTAAAAATTTTCAGATCCTCTCTAGATATAGGGAGTATACTTTTGTTATAACAATTCTCCTCTGTAGTAATATGACTTGATGTTATTCACTTCTTATCAAGATTTTCCATGTGTAGCACACTTGCTCTTCCCATAATCTCTTTCCATGATCTCTCTATGTTGCAGTCTCATCAGCCAATAAAAGTTTTTGAAAATTGAAACCATTCAAATTTGATCAAGGAAATATTATCAATTACTTGATTGATACTAGCTTAACTAGAGAACTTACACATTAATTATTTTTTTGAAAGAAAGTTATGCTCCCCCAGTTCTCAAAAAATATTACTCTAAGAGCTTACAAGCTAATTTATAAAATTTGTATCAACATTCACAAAATACTAGATTTTGTAAGCTCTCTTTAATTGAAAAAATAAGTTAAATCTGAATGTTATCTAATAAGTATGTAGAACATGTAAAGACACTCAAAATTTAGGTTATAACAGTTGCAACTCATCAAAATAAAGTATTTAGGAATCCTAGTAACAGAGGGTTTTGGAGTGGGTCTGCACAGGAAAAGACTCCATAACTTCTAATTGCTTGATATTTGTAGGGTATACTAGTAGGACCCTCGAATCATATCTAGATAGGCACTGAGTATGTATTTTTTAATAAAATTTTTCAAAGATTTACACTTTTTCCTTCAAAGTTTTCTATAATTTTACTGTTAAATATAGAACACTTTTCTCTACAAAATATGATATACTTAACAAAATTTCTGCTATCTGTGGTAACTTTTCTATATCCTTACTATTGCTTTGTATCATTATAATTTTTTTTTTAAACCCAAAATCAATCTTTTTCTCTGTTCAACAAATTATGATATCCATCCTTTCCTGGTTGCAGATTTCAGTTATTTAAAAAGATTTATAACTTAAAAATCCATCCTTTGATTTACTGGAGACACACACACACAACAAATTGCTATAAACATTTCTGACTTGCATCTTCAAATGGTTGACACAGAACAAAACTTTTCTTCTTTGACAAGAGAGAACTAACAGGTCTGTTGATGCAGAGTGATGATGATGATGATTTCATGATGTACTTCTGATAATATTCTAAGTGTGGGAGATGTACTTTGCTTTAGGAATAAGAATAGCACAGTCAAAAGATTTATTGAAATCGAAACAATTTCTTTCTCCTGATCATCTGTGGCTGAGGCAGTTGTTATATTAAATAACTGCTGTGGCAAGTTAACTAAATACCTTTTTCAAATATGAAATAAGTTAAGTTAAATAAGTTCTGTCCATTTGGAAAGGATCCTGACCCAAATCCTAAATATATGCCAAGAATATTTACATTATGTTGAAGTGTCTAGATGCCTTATCTTATTCTGTGAAGTTCTGTGGCTTTGACAGCTAAAAGAGTTGCAGAATATTTTTTTTGGTGGGAACAAATGCATAAGTTCAAGAAGATTTGTGGGAACAAATATTTTTTTTGAAAGCTTAGAGGTGTAAATATATATATATATGTATGTATATTTTGGGTTAAGAAATAAATGAAGATGTGGGTGTCCTTACAAGATTATTTAGGAAGAAGATGAGCTGAAATAAATTAGTGTCCTGTAGATGATGAGGTAGTTTAGTTTCCTTTTTTAGCTTATAAAAACCAATGCCTAGAGGATAAAAAAGTAAAACTTATAATCTCTTCAAGAATAAATAAAAATGTAATTGGTTATTGTCTGTTTTTACTTGATTTATAGACATGACATAAATATAGAATGTTTGATGAAATTATGCTTCAAAATTTGAAATTTTAATGAAATAATTATGTAACAAGTAAACAAGAATTTAATAATTCATAATGTAAGTATAAATCCCATTTGGTTGTAGGATTTGGATGGAGGAAAAAGTGCATTGTGACAATCCACATGGTAATACTATAATCTATTGATGAAAGTTTAACTACATGGGTTTTCCTGTTTATACATCTTCATGGAATTGCCTTAGGATATATATATGTGTGTGTGTATATATAGTGATTGATATTATAAAACTTAATGCTGTTTGAAGTGTGAAGGAACAGCCTTAGAAAGTTCAGCTCAGAGTTCCAACCTAGCTTTACAATTAGAGAAAGAGAAATATATATATAGTGATAGATATTAGAAAAGTTAAAAAGTTCAGCTTAGAGTTCCAACCTGGCATTAAACCCAGTTTACAATTAGGAAAAGAGAAAAGTAATTTCTTTTGCCCTGTCACTGAACTCTGCTTATAAAATGATAGCATTTTTATAATTTAGATTATGTTTGAAAGAATTAAACAACACTTCTATGCAATGCAGCTATATATTTTTATGATCCAATCAATAAAGTTGCTTGTTTATACATTAATTTCTTCCACACAGCTAATTTCATTCATGACCAAATTCAAGCTATCCCAAGCACATGCTTAGTGTAATTTATTAGGAATTTGAATGAGAATACAAAGTAATGTTGTTTATTCACTTTGGTTTACAGTAATGAGAACATATATGATTTCCAAAATTCAAAAAGCCTTCAATATAATAAGAAAGCAGATTAATTATTCTTGAACTCTGTAGACCATTTGGATACAAATCTTTACTTTGTAGACCCTTAATTCTTGAACTCTGTAGACCCTTTTATTCTTTAGTTACAAGAACCTTTACTGGGTTAGTATTCATCATTAGAACTCTTTTCACAATCTCTCAAGATTAAGCTAACGAATTTTGACAAGAACGCCATTATAAAAGCTTCCCTAGTTCATAAGTGAATACAAATTCAAATATTGTATCCACTTATAAACTGTTAGAGAACTTGTAAATTGTATAAATTTTAAGCTCATATAAAACAAGTTAATCCAGTCACTCTATATATTTCAAAATCCTCAAAATGCATTCTTTTGCTCTTGTGATGTGGGAACTTATTTGGTAGTTCACAGTCTTTCTCTTCTGGTTGCATCAATTTAACACTTTTTCTTAATAATTCTAATAGGATTTTATCTAATAGAAATATCCACTATATATCTAATTGAAGTAACCCACTTCAATCCCTCTGCCTTGTTGACCTAAAAATATCCACTCTATATCTAATACAAAGTCATGTACCAGGAAAGCAATTTCTACCTATCCATTCAAGCTCTCAATTTTTCAATTACACCTCTCACTCCAATACCATCTTTTATTCAAATTCTCTCTATCCCTAAACTTGACCTACAACCCAAGCTTATCTCTATAACTACACTTATTAGAGAAAACCAATACTTGTTCACTAGCATAGCTAGAATTCATTAAGAGGCCTCTACAAATTAGAAATGCTAACCAATAATAATTTGAACAAGAGAAAACATCCATGAACTTCATCCTACACAAATTTATACGTAAGAAATGTGGCAAGTTGGGTAATCAAAGCTATAACTACTTCAAAGGAAATGAATTCTTAGCACCTACATCTTTAAGTATTATGTGATGCAGTAAGAATTTTATCAAAAAAGGAAAAGTTATGGAAAGGGTATTCAGATTTACTTATTCTTAAGTTGTCTTCAAGTTCTGAGAAGCATTAAGTTTTTAGCACTTCGAGTTAGAAAATTGTTTGGATGCTGAGAAATTTTTCCTGACTTTTATACTATAACATACTGTCAAGAATTTGCTAAAATTACAGTTTCTAGTTATTTATCATTATATGTTATATTCGATGCGAGTATTCTTGATTTTGGTAATGTACATATGTTATATGCAAGTGATTAAATGAATGAATGAATTGTAATATAGTGAGGAATTAGAATGATGCAGATTGATGAAAGGTGGAGTAGGAAGGTAGAGAGAAAGTGGTGGCTGCATCAAGTGATGAAGATTGTTAGTAGGTAATTTCTGATTTTGTCCATTTTGAAGTCATTGCCATTCACATGGGAATCTATTTGTATCTGTTTTCCAATTGGAGTTTTAAGTTTGTTGAAATTGTCCATTCTATATATTATATTATATCATATTAGCTTATTTAAGCAAGTCTTGTGAATGAATCCTTTCACTGCATTTTCAATTGGAATTTAAGGTGGAGAAGAAGTTCATCTTGGAAGTATGTATGTTTCAATAGTCATATAGTTTGGTGCCCAACTGAGCTTATCTTAGCAAGAACACCATGTGGATTTCTTGAGTGATTTGTTCACAAATCAAGAATTACGAGATCACCCGTTTTGCTCTAATTCGTTTTTCTAAATGTAAGTAATCAACTAAAATGTAAGTTATTAAGCATAAGGACGAGAAAGATGGTTTATTCATAAAATAAAATGATATATAATAACCCACCAAATTAAGAAACGTAAACAACAGATAGAAACTATTGTTTGTGGTGAATAATAGAGAGTTATACTTCTTTTAAGGCCATCGAAGAACTATTAATCCAAGAAAATGTCATTATAAAGTAATTTTTCAATACTCTGAACCCGTATTAGAAAAATACGTAACTAATAATTTCTCTATATACGATACTAATAATTTAACTTATTACAAGTCACTTATTCTCTCTTGAAGTGAAAAACTAATTTCTCTTGTTAAAATTTTTTCAACCAATAATTCGTTAAATTTAACAAAATATCTTAAGATTATAAATTCGGAGAAAAAATTAATAAAAACATAAAATTAAGATATGAAATGGCGTCGTTTTAGAGCCCTCATTTAACTCGCAAGCATGATGCTCGAACAAAATTGCTTCATGAGTTGGGCTTTTACTTGACCGGGTTGGATCGCGAGCTTCGATGGGCTAGATCTTTTCTTCTTCTATCCCCCTCTTTTCTTCCTTTCTCCAATTTTGGTTTTTTTTTTATATCAAAAATAAAAATAAAATAGAACGTGATAATGATAATAATAATAATTTTCGAAACCGGGATATGATAACTCCTATAAATAGAGGTTGTAAGAAGTATGAAGGTTTTCTTAAAACTTGGTTTAAGTGACAAATAATCACTACAAGCACTGAAGGAGAAGATTAGATATAGGCCTAATCAATCTTGCATTTCTTATAACTTAATTTTGATATATATATATATATATATATATAATATTATATAATAAAACAAAGGAGAGGTAGGTTGGTAGAAGTGGGGAATTATATGAGAAACATATATGATAATGTAGCCCCACATGTTGAATCTTATGCCGGCAATGGTTGTGATTTGGAGGAGGTGAAGTAGTGGAAATTATAATTAAAAAAGCTAATAATAACCCCAAAACACAATAATATTGTTGGTCATAAGATCACTCCTCCACTTCTTTCCTTTATATATATATATATATATATATATATATATATATATATTATATGTACTCTCATCACCTGGTTCTTGGACAGATTTTGAGTGGTGTTTTGTTACTTTTTCAATTCTCTTTTTGTTCACAAAGTTGAAAGGATCCTCATGACAACATCCCTTTTCCACTATGCCTTTTACCCTTGTTTGTTAAAATGCTATTTATCTTTCTTTATCTAATTAGGAAATTTAAGTTACAAAAACTATATCATCTTAAGGAACCCTCTATATCTATATATATAGATATATATACACACACACACAAAATAAAGAGAAATAAAACCATGAACAACAATGTTATAACGATCCAAGTAGAGGTGCATACATGTGAAAATTTCGAGGAGCATATGGTAACCTAGTGTATCCTTAGTGGAAATATTGTGAGAATCCAAGAGGTTAAGCTATCATCATAGAGAAAATCTCCTAATTCCTACTAAAAAGCTCATTGATATGGAACTCAATAGACGTAGAGGGAATCGACCTCGACCATGAGTTTCTTAAGGCCAATCTCCAAGCACGAGACACTTCATGACGCTATAGTCCCATTTCTTGTGTTCACCCAAGATGAGTTATTTGGAACTAGTAGGGAGAGAGGGTCTTCTAGCTCTGTCTTCAAGAGCCATTAGAATAAGTGCACAAAGTCATTATCATGTCAATCTAGTCAAGAGAACGATATTAAGATAGTGAATTAGCAGCTAGTCCCTAATCCAAAATGTATTTTTAAAGTCCCACTACGATTATCATTTTTAATTGCACCCTAAGCTCAAGTTTTAAAACTTAATATATGAGGTACGTTCTTATGAGTTATAGGAGCATCCTTAATATGAGTTACATCTTTTTTGATGAAATACTCAAACGTGCAAAACATGAATAATAGATTATTAAGCCACCATAACTTCATCATAATTTGCTACTTCACAATCTCATAAATTTTAAGCCCTCCCCAATCCTTAGCTTTACACATCTTAGTCGGAGGGATAAGATAGACCCTCTTATGACCAAATGTTATACCCTAAAATAAAGTCCCTTATCACTCTATCTATATAAGCAGCAACCAGAGCAAGGGAGATAAACCATATATATTGCGTAGTATGGAATCACCACCAAAATAGATTTAGTTTAAAGTCATATGCTCCACCATGGATGATGGGAACTCGCCATCCCCCAAGTTTTTTATGAACCCAATTCATAATACTTTAGTAGGTGGGTTAGTCAGTCTTCAAGCATAAGAGAAGGACCCGAAACTATCATACAAGATAAAAATACGTGTGAGATAGAGCTAATGACGCATAATCTCCGAAAAATCTCCCTATTGATATTCTGTCAGAAAAATATATAATAAATTTTTACTATTCTAAAATGAGTTCCACGGAGATTGAAATATCATGTAGAACAAAATGATAAAAATTTCGTTTAATTCTGATTCTTACTATTGAAATTAGATTTCTTCACATCTTTCTCGATGAAATACTTAAACGTGCAGAACATGAATAATAGATTATTAAGCCACCGTAACTTCATCGTAATTTGCTACTTCACAATCTCATGAATTTTAAGCCCTCCCCAATCCTTAGCTTTACACATCTTGGTCGGAGGAATAAGAAGGACCCTCTTATGACCAAATGTTAAACCCCAAAACGAAGTCCCTTATCACTCTATCTATATAAGCAGCAACCAGAACAAGGGAGGTAAACCATATATATTGCGTAGTATGGAATCACCACCAAAATAGATTTAGTTTAAAGTCATATGCTCCACCATGGATGATGGGAACTCGCCATCCCCCAAGTTCTTTATGAACCCAATTCATAATACTTTAATAGGTGGGTTAGTCAGTCTTCAGGCATAAGAAAAGGATCAGAAAGTATCATACAAGATAAAAATGCATGTTAAATAAACCTAATGACGCGTAATTTTCGTCTATTAATATTCCGGAAGAAAAATTTACAATAAATTTTTACTACTTTAAAATAAGTTACACGAAAATAGAAATATCATGTAGAACAAAATAATAAAAATTTCGTTCGATTCTGATTTTTACTATTAAAGTTAGATTTTTTTACAACGATAATTTTTTAATTTATAAAAATAAATAATATATATAGTTAAAATAAATAAATAACACGATCGAATTATAAAATAATTAATACTTATAATATAATTATCCGACTCGTACTACATCATCATGAAAACCAATAATATCGAGTGTGTGTGTGTGTGTGTATGTATATCCACATACACATAATACATACGTGTATATATATATATATATATACATACACATATCATTATCTAAAGTCATAAGGAGTTTAAATCTGTGGTTGCAGAAAGTGTGTAGCTGAATCCAGACTTCATTTCACGTGGACTGTTGAAGTATGCATTTGCTAAGATTCATCATGTGAAAAACAGATATATAAATAACATGCAATATAGCTCATGATCCAGAACCAGCTAGCTTATTTTAATTATATATAAATAAATAAATATTGTATAATCTCTACATACAGGCCATACATATACATATATATATATATATATATATATAAGAAGAAATCAATAATGACTGATCAATCAAAGAAGACAAAAAAATAAAAGTTGGTCATGCAATCATAATTCTCCTAATAAACAAACCAAGAATTCTACCCAGTTATTATTGCATTCTTCTGTTTTCAACTTTGAATAATTAATTCTGGAAAAAAGAAATACTGTATACACATATATAAGTATACCTGTGTTTGAATATATATATATATACATACATACACACAGCCAACTGAGTTTACAATAATTATAATAATAAAGAAAACAGTTAGGGGAGAGCATATTCTTGCAGGTT